GTTTGGGGGGGACCACAGAATGATCAAAAAAAAGTAAATTATGTGATCCAAAAGGTCACCTCTTGAACACTATGTGCTTAATTGTCCCTTTTTGAGGGGAAAACAGAGGGCCCGACAGTATTATAACCTATTACATGTCAAAATATCTTTTTAAGAAAAAAAGATACCCAAAATTACTAAGCAAATTTCCTAAATTTGCTTTTAAAAGATAAGTGAACTATAATTGAATATAAATCCTATGTATTCCTGTTTCCTTTGGGGGGTTCCTGGCCTTTTTACCATTGCTCTCGGCTACCGTCCCAAAGGGTGGATTTGGGGTGCACAAAAAACTAGCCACTTCGTGGCAAAAAACTAAAAAAAAAAAACCACGTCGATCAATTTTTTTGGGCACAGGGTTGGGTCATAAGTAAGTTTTTTTCAGGTATACAAAATACATTTTCAAAAGATTATCATCGAACATACATATTGTCTGTTATAGAAACAAAGATATTTCATGTCTTTGGGAGCCCTACCTAAAAATCTGTTTGAATCGCATGGACAATAAGCAACTGGGCACACCCAAAAACTATTAAGCAATTTTTTCAATGCAACATCCCCCAACGAAAAGCAGAGGGGGCCCTGTGCATAAGAAAAACACAATAAATGTAGGCCCAAGATTGCATACAGCCAGATAAGGCCTGGCTGATTTGTCCTATCAAAGCTTGGGGCACATGGAATTAAAATTTAATCATTTTTAAAATCGAGTACAATACCGACAAAAATATTTGGGGTGTTTGGCTCTGAAATGATACCCTCACTTTGGGGGGGGTCCCGATTCATGGAAAATTTGTAAATTTTCCTCCTGAATTAATCCTGATAACCTCCAATTTCCCAGGCTTTTTATGGCCGCTGTGGGTTTAGAGCTACTCAGTAACAATGCTGTTGTAAGGGTTATTTTGAGGATGTAAGTAACCTCTCCGTTCTGATGGACGAGTCCAAATACAGTTGTAAATCATGTTAATGTCTAAAACAAAAGCGCACCAGTGATATAATACTCATTTTCCCCAAGGCACTGTGACCCCTGGGGGTTTAGTGCTTCCCCCATGAAGTATTTTGGGGAGATTTAATCTAGGATTAAAACCAGTGCAAATAAAGTACGTGGATAAGGGCTGTTTTTTTTTATCTTACAAGTTTAGCATGAAGTACTGACAGGAGAAATACTGAAAAATATTTATGAATATAAGGTCTAGCCAGAGCTCCCCTCAGGGGATTATCATTAATTTGTAACTAAATGGTTATTACTACAACCATAATTTTTAAAGGGGTGGACTGGTAAGCCAACGGAAGGCTTTGGTCAGATGCCCAAAAGCTCCAATGGACGGTCATCATCTAAGACCCGCATCAGGAAACACTCGTCCTGTTTCCTAATGAACATTACCTAACCTAACCAGTAATTTGTCCATGATTGTGACCATGTATAGATGTGTAGATGGTTCATTGCCTTTGTAACCTGGTCATGATTGTGACCAGATTTATCTGGAGTTCATTACCATTGTAACTTGTTCAGCTATCAAAACTTTGGGGTCCAGTCCCTGGACTCATTATGTACCTCTGTAATCTTTTGACTACCACCCACAGGATGGTTTTGGGGTGCATAATAAAGTTCTAAACTAATTAAACTAACAATTGACCCCTGGCTATCTTCAAGAGGGAACTGGATAAGTCAGTAGTACTTGATCAGCCAGTGTAAGGTGACTAACACCCAGGTACCTACTCACAGCTAGGTGAACATCTATACATATGATGCTATGTATGATAATTTATGTAATGGTATTAATGTGTACCTGAATAAACTATGTTTACGTACCCTTGCGGGGATCGATACGAACCCGGACACTGTGTGGGTGAGAGCGTGTCTACACATGGCCACGGACACTATTTCACAGTGCAAATAGTTTTATTCTAATTTAACAAATTTCTTTTTAAATTAAAATGTTCAGAGATCAAGCCCCATACCCCAATTCTAGGCCCCCACAATTGTAATTGGGCCCCCACACTAGTTGCTTGTCCCAGGGCCCCCTACAAAATACATGTAAAGGTGCGCCCCCCCCACTAGTGCTTTCCCAAGGGCCCCCAACAAGTTACTGTAATGGGCCCCTCCCCACAGTTTGCTTGTCTCTGGCCCCCTACAAGTTACTTGTACTGGGGTCCACCCCACTAGTTGCTTGTCTCTGGCCCCCCTACAAGTTACTTGTACTGGGTCCCCCACTAGTTGCTTGTCTCTGGGCCCCTACAAGTTACTTGTACTGGGTCCCCCACTAGTCGTTTGTCTCTGAGCCCCCTACAAGTTACTTGTAATGGGCCCCACTAGTCGCTTGTCCCTGGGCCCCCTACAAGTTACTTGTACTGGGTCCCCCACTAGTTGCTTGTTCCTGGGCCACTACAACTTACTTGTAATGGGCCCCCACTAGTTGCTTGCCCCTGGGCCCCCTTCAAGTTACTTGTACTGGGTCCCCCACTGGTTGCTTGTCTCTGGGCCCCCTACAAGTTACTTGTAATGGGCTCCCCACTAGTTGCTTGCTCCTGGGCCACTACAAGTTACTTGTAATGGCGCCCTTCTAGTTGCTTGTAATGGCGCCCTTCTAGTTGCTTGTAATGGCGCCCTTCTAGTTGCTTGTAATGGCGCCCTTCTAGTTGCTTGTCCCTGGGCCCCTACAAGTTACTTGTACTGTGTCCCCCACTAGTTGCTTGTCTCTGGGCCCAATACAAGTTACTTGTACTGGGTCCCCCACTAGTTGCTTGTCTCTGGGCCCCCTACAAGTTACTTGTACTGGGTCCCCCGCTAGTTGCTTGTCCCTGGGCCCCCTACAAGTTACTTGTACTGGGTCCCCCACTAGTTGCTTGTCTCTGGGCCCCCTACAAGTTACTTGTAATGGGTCCCCCACTAGTTGCTTGTTCCTGGGCCACTACAAGTTACTTGTAATGGCCCCCCTCTAGTTGCTTGTCCCTGGGCCCCTACAAGTTACTTGTACTGGGTCCCCCACTAGTTGCTTGTCTCTGGGCCCCCTACAAGTTACTTGTACTGGGTCCCCAGCTAGTTGCTTGTCCCTGGGCCACCTACAAGTTACTTGTACTGGGTCCCCCACTAGTTGCTTGTCTCTGGGCCCCCTACAAGTTTACTTGTACTGGGTCCCCACTAGTTGCTTGTCTCTGGGCCTCCCTACAAGTTACTTGTACTGGTCCCCCACTAGTTTGCTTGTCTCTGGGCCCCCTACAAGTTACTGTACTGGGTCCCCCACTAGTTGCTTGTCTATGGGCCCCTACAAGTTACTTGTATGGGTCCCCCACTAGTTGCTTGTCTCTGGGCCCCCTACAAGTTACTTGTACTGGGTCCCCTGCTAGTTGCTTGTCCCTGGGCCCCCTACAAGTTACTTGTACTGGGTCCCCCACTAGTTGCTTGTCTCTGGGCCCCCTACAAGTTACTTGTACTGGGTCCCCCACTAGTTGCTTGTCTCTGGGCCCCCTACAAGTTACTTGTACTGGGTCCCCTGCTAGTTGCTTGTCTCTGGGCCCACTACAAGTTACTTGTACTGGGTCCTCCACTAGTTGCTTGTCTCTGGGCCCCTACAAGTTACTTGTACTGGGTCCCCCCACTAGTTGCTTGTCTATGGCCCCCTACAAGTTACTTGTACTGGGTCCCCCACTAGTTGCTTGTCTCTGGGGGGCCCCCCACAAGTTACTTGTACTGGGTCCCCTGCTAGTTGCTTGTCCCTGGGCCCCCTACAAGTTACTTGTACTGGGTCCTCCACTAGTTGCTTGTCTCTGGGCCCCCTACAAGTTACTTGTACTGGGTCCCCCACTAGTTGCTTGTCTCTGGGCCCCCTACAAGTTACTTGTACTGGGTCCCCTGCTAGTTGCTTGTCTCTGGGCCCCCTACAAGTTACTTGTACTGGGTCCTCCACTAGTTGCTTGTCTCTGGGCCCCCTACAAGTTACTTGTACTGGGTCCCCCACTAGTTGCTTGTCCCAGGGCCCCCTACAAGTTAGTGGTACTGGCCCCAACAAGGGAAGAAGCACTCCCTTCAAGGGAGATCCCTTGATAGCAGTGAGGGGGCTCTTGATTCTAGGAATTAGAGCTGAATTGAAGCCTACGGGAAACAAATAATGTAATACTACTGGTTTAGAAAGACACGTAAGCAAACACTATAACATATTTATTAGAAAACGTTTCGGTCCTGGGACCTTGATCACTTCTAACATACAGAGGTAGAAAGACATTATATATATAGGCGGAGAGTGAGATGTGACGCACGTGACCTGAGGAATGTCATAAGAACATAAGAATGGAGGAACACTGTAGAAGGCCTACTGGCCCATGCGAGGCAGGTCCTTATCAAAAACAACCTCTGCCTATGATGAGGACGTGATTTCATCGTCTACCCGTCCTCATCATAGGCAGAGGTTGTTTTGATAAGGACCTGCCTCGCATGGGCCAGTAGGCCTTCTACAGTGTTCCTCCATTATGTTCTTATGACATTCCTCAGGTCACGTGCGTCACATCTCACTCTCCGCCTATATATATAATGTCTTTCTACCTCTGTATGTTAGAAGTGATCAAGGTCCCAGGACCGAAACGTTTTCTAATAAATATGTTATAGTGTTTGCTTACGTGTCTTTCTAAACCAACTTGTCGGTATTTATTACCAAGGTTTATTCCGTAATACTACTAAATGGAGAGAAGCGCTAAACCCGTAAGAAGCCATATAGCGCTTCAGGGATGGGAAAATGAGTGCAGTTCCTCGGATCAAGAGCCTCTAACTAACATCAAGGTTCCCCTAAACAATGTGACTTGCGTCCAAGTCAGACTTCATCATCATCAAGGAACTCGGTGGAAATAACTCATATTTATCGAGTTTTTTGGACTTTCCCCGGGTTCCTTTATTTATTAATTATCACAAAAATGTTGTAAATGTTTAATATTATATGCGGGGAATGAATGAGACCTAAATAAATGAAAAAAAAACTTGTTGTTAGTGGAGGGTGACTTGGACTCGGCCATCCAGAGTGAAGGTGACATCTGTGATTCCTGGTCACTTTCCCCTCACTTTCCTGACTACTTTCCCTCACTTTCCCGCCACTTGGGAGTGTGAGGAGGCTGGTGGGGGCCCCTGGGGAGGATGACACGCCTGTGGAGCTGCATGATGGGCCCCAGACTCTATAAGATATATGGAGACTTCCCGCGTCTCCAGGTAACATCTCTACACTTGGCCCTTGCGGGTTTACCGCCTGGTGTTCTCTTCCACTTCCTCGGATCAAGATTGCACACTCTCCCCCCTCCCCCGGGGTAACACCTGCGGGACCCCAGTGGGTGATTTATACATTTGTAATAGTAGTTATGTGGTCCTGCAAGGGGCTCTTGATCCAGGGAGTTGGATCTGTGCTCCAGTTTTCTGAGTTTATTCTGAATACCTTCCACTCCCCCCATAGGTGTTGTGTAATCCATACGGGTTTAGAGCTCCCCATAATGTAATATATAATAATAATAGTATTAATAATTAATTAAAAAATAAATAATAGTATTAATAATTATAAATAATAATAATAGTATTAATAATTAATTATAAATAATAATAATAATAGTATTAATAATTAATTATAAATAATAATAATAATAATAGTATTAATAATTAATTATAAATAATAATAATAATAGTATTAATAATTATAAATAATAATAATAGTATTAATAATTAATTATAAATAATAATAATAATAATAATAGTATTAATAATTAATTAAAATAATAATAAATAGTATTAATAATTATAAATAATAATAATAATAATAGTATTAATAATTAATTATAAATAATAATAATAGTATTAATAATTAATTATAAATAATAATAATAGTATTAATAATTATAAATAATAATAATAATAATAGTATTAATAATTAATTATAAATAATAATAATAATAGTATTAATAATTAATTATAAATAATAATAATAGTATTAATAATTATAAATATAATAATAATAATAGTATTAATAATTAATTATAAATAATAATAATGACATGTACCGGTGCTTAAATAAATAAAATTATTCCATGATTATAATCTCGTCTGTATTATTACTGTGCGTTAATGTCTGAAGGGCTTGTGATCCAAGGAACTGAAGCTGCCCTCGCCTGGTGTAGATTACGGTGGAACTCTGGCGCTCGAACTTAATTGGTTCCAGACGGCTGTTTGAGTGACGATCTGTTCGAGTACCGAATGAATTTTTCCCAACCAATTTTCTGTTTGTTCGGCTGTTGTCACTAATCTTGGTCGGCCTCGCGGTGACTTATTTACACAATATAAAAAAAAATCCCAAAAATACGAAGAAACATGAAATAGTTTACAGCGAAGTTCTAGCAGGTCGTGTTTGGTCGAGCGCCGAGCGAACGGTCAACTACCAAGCGACTTCTACACTGAACAAAGCATTTGAGCACCGAATTGTTCGAGTACGGAGCTGTTCGAGTACTGAGGTTCCACTGTATTTGTATCATTAACACTTTGAGTTTATAAACGAAGGCTAAATCAGGAAACCCATCCGCGCTGTATAACCCTTGTGGTTTAGCGCTTCTTTTTGATTATAATATTAATAATCAGCAAAGCCGTTTATAACTTATTTACATTGATGTCCTTTAATCATTTTCCTGAATAAAAATACTTCGATTTATTGGACATTAATTTATACTTCTTGATTTTACTGGGGTATTCTAGGTTATTTTTTTTATAATATTTTATAAATGACATTAAAAAATTACGTGTACAAAACCCTGATACAACACGTATTAGGGGTAGGTTATGGCCTGGTTGGGAATGCTGTCGCTTCCCACAGTGAGTGTGCGGGTTCGATCCCTGGCATGGGTGGAAACATTAGGCATGTTTCCTTACATGTGTTGTTTTGCAATAAAGTTGGTAGAATTACCGACAATATGTAAAGTAAAAGGACACAAGTGCAACTAATGTGACATTTTATTGTGGCAACATTTCGCTCCTGGAGAGCGAAACGTTGCCACAATAAAATGTCACATTAGTTGCACTTATGTCCTTTTACTTCACGTGTTTTGTTCACCTAGCAGTAAGTAGGTACCTGGGTGTTAGTGGACTGGTGTGGGTTGCATCCTGGGGGACAAGCTTGAAGGACCATAATGGAAATAAAACAGTTCTCGATGACGCACTGACTTTCCTGGCTTATCCTGGGTGGCTAACCCTCCCGAGTTAAAAATCTGAACAAAATCTCATTGGAAATAAGTCACTTTGTCTGACTTACTTGGGTTATCCTCGGGAATTTACTCATTTGTTACTATGGAATAAATCACAATAAGGTGCATGATTGAAAATATTAATATAATAATAAAATCTTAATTTCTGCAACTACAAGGTATACCAGTACATGTACAAGGTATACCAGTATATGTACAAGGTATACCAGTACATGTACAAGGTATACCAGTACATGTACAAGGTATACAAGTACATGTACAAGGTATACCAGTACATGTACAAGGTATACCAGTACATGTACAAGGTATACATGTACAAGGTATACAGACCATAGCTGACATCAATGACATACTACTATATACAAAGTACCTTGTTATGTTGAGCATTTCCCACAAATTATGTCAGTTTTGTCCCAGGATGTGACCCACACCAGTCCACTAACACCCAGGATGTGACCCACACCAGTCCACTAACACCCAGGATGTGACCCACACCAGTCCACTAACACCCAGGATGTGACCCACACCAGTCCACTAACACCCAGGATGTGACCCACACCAGTCCACTAACACCCAGGATGTGACCCACACCAGTCCACTAACACCCAGGATGTGACCCACACCAGTCCACTAACACCCAGGATGCGACCCACACCAGTCCACTAACACCCAGGATGTGACCCACACCAGTCCACTAACACCCAGGATGCGACCCACACCAGTCCAATAACACCCAGGTACCCATTTTACTGATGGGTGAATATGGACAACAGGTGTCTTATGGAAATATGACCTAATGTTATCCAACTGTACCTGAGCTTCAAACTTCGGACCTCAGTGAAAATAAGAAGAAAAACCTAAGCACTTTCATGTGCTGACTCACACATCTTCAGTCCATGAAAGTGCCCAGGTTTTATTTCCTGTTTTCTCTGTTGTATTTTTACATACATTACTTTGTACAATTGTAGTTGTGTGTACCTGTACCTAAATAAAACACACTCTTGTTTTTCCATCAAACAAGACAGAAATACTACCAGTGTGAGTACTCAGAATTTCTAGGAGAAAGTTCTAGGTGAAGTCTCCGGTTGTGAATTTTGTATGTATGTATTTTGTAATTAACCAAGTTGTGAATTTTGTATGTACATTGGTACCTCGGGATACGAACTTAATTCATTCCAGAAGGCCGTTCGAGTGCTGATACTGAACGAATTTGTTCCCATAAGGAATAATGTAAATTAGATTAATCCATTTCAGACCCCCAAAAATACACTTACATAAATACACTTACATAATTGTTTGCATTTTGAGCTGTTCGTATCCCGAGGTACCACTGTACAGTGGACCCCCGCTTAATGATCACCTCCCAATGCGACCAATTATGTAAGTGTATTTATGTAAGTGCATTTGTACGTGTATGTTTGGGGGTCTGAAATGGACTAATCTACTTCACAATATTCCTTATGGGAACAAATTCGGTCAGTACTGGCACCTGAACATACTTCTGGAACGAAAAAATATCGTTAACCGGGGGTCCAATGTATTTTGCAATCAGCCACATTATGAATTTTGCATGTTGCCATTTATTTGGTAATCTAAGAAAAAATTCAACGTTAAAAATATAATAATCATTGACGATTTTAACTGATGGTATATTTGTTTCCAGAGCGAGGTGTACGTGCCTAATGCACTGGAGAAGATCGGAAACAAAATCATTCAAGGGGTAAGAACAGTACATCACTCTAGTACAGTACATCACTCTAGTACAGTACAGTAGTAACTTTCACTAAGTTCAATATTTCCCTGTACAAAAACTTTGTACAGTATTAGCTTTAGGGGTAATAGTGAATTAAATACTGTAATATTATGTAATTTATAACAGTACAGTAGTGTTGAATATTTTTATGCATTTCAATGTTTGCAAAATAACCACTGTTTAAAATAGTGAATTTCCAAGTGCTTCATGATTTCTCACATTATCATGCATGTATAACTACAGTGGTACCTCGAGTTTCGAACGTCTCCTAACTCGAATAATTGTGTAAATATATTTTTTGTAAGTGCTTTTGAAAGTGTATTTTTCTGGGTTTGAAACGGACTAATCCAGTTTACATATTCCTTATGGGAACAAATTCGTTTGGTATCAGCACTCAAACAGCCTTCTGGAATGAATTAAGTTTGTAACTCAAGGTACCACTGTATGTGCTTTTTAAATTGTTGAAATATCGTTATAGTGTTTAAATTATACCAGTAATTTGCTATTATTAAACTTCTAAAAATCATGATGTAGGTATATCTAGTATAATTTTGATTGCATCCACTAAAAAATTCTTTAACTATGTAAAGAATCCCACACCATTCACAACATATTAATTTGTCTGATTTTGACAAAGCGACATCTTGCAGGGATGTGGGGCATGACACCTGTGCTGGGTCACACAAGGGATGTGTTATCTCCCCTCTGCCTGTTGGAGGTTAATCCTGGGAGCGATATGTATGACAGGTTTGATAACCCGTCTGTACATCATCTGTGCTGTCAGATTATGCTGTGACTAGCCTGCCCACCATTATCATATTTTCCACCTCCCACATCTGTTATGTCATGACATGATTGTTCTCAGGCCAGTTTACCCACTGTTCACTTTGTGTTGAGCAATTAAGATAAATATATGCAGACATCAGATGTGTATCTCTATACACGCTTGAGATTTTACATTAATCCCAATTTTAGGGGTTAATCTTAATGTTAGAGAGCAGGCAAAGAGCATCCGTAATGGCCCATATGCAGTTGATAAAGTTTTCAGCCTAACTAATTAACTTTTATGTATTTATCCTAAAGATACTGAATGTGTTACCAAGTGTGGCAGATAAGAAACCATTCTCAGTTATATGTGAAGCCCATACATTGATGCTACCAAGTGATGATTCATTACCATCTAGGAGTACCTTCAGTACTTGTTTCTGCAACATGCATAACTCCTCTTCCTGCTACCAAACAGACGTATTACCCTTCGGCACTCGACTTCACCTTGTTCTTTTCAGAAGTCGAGTCGCTACTATTACACTAGGGGCTATCCCACTAGACCCTCACTTGATTTTATCCTCGCTGTACGAAGAGTTTACTCTAGTTCCTGACCCTAGTGAGAGTATTCCTTCAGTTATTATTTACTTAACTACTGTACCTTGAATCAACTATACCTACATTTAAAAAATTTGTCCTTTTGCAGTAATAAATTCCAGAGAACACCAGCATTTACCTCTCAAACATCTGTAACTCTTTTAAAGTGGTGACCCCCAAGAGTGACCTTGAAAGCCTAAAAGCATAATTCTCGTGTTTTTCAGGGAAGCAAGTGCTATAATACCCACAAGTTCCCTGCAGTATAAGGTGATGCCAAGACTGGCTTAGCATACATTAGTAAATTTATTTAGGTACAAGTACACATTTTTTTTTTTTTTATTATCAAGTACACATAAGTTGTACAATTATTATACTGTAAATTACACAGGATAACCCAAAAAAAAGTCAAGAGTGAGTTATTTCCCTCGGGGTCCTTGTACCTGTGGTGTAACAATCTTTCCCAGGTCAGTTACCCACCGGTCATCTTGTTTTGTGAATAAAAATTCAAATAACGAGCGCACATACAAATGATAGGATAGGCTTAACTGTAGTACAGGTCACCTCACCCTATGGGGTGAGATAATATCTTTTGCCTTCGAAAGTAAAAATGCGTTTGTATCATAAATTGTACAACCTCATATTAATAATAGAGTAAATTATTGACTATTTGAAATTTGCTATTCTTTACCTATATAGACTTAAGTAATCTTTAAGTACATTGGAGCCTCGGTATGTGACCCTAATTCATTCCAGAAAACTGTTTGAGTGCCGCTCCATTTGAGTATCGAACAAGTTCTTCCCAACCAATTTTCTGTTTGGTTGGCTGTTATCACTAAATGTTGTAGGCCTCATGGTGACTTATTTATATAAATAATTAAAAAAAAACACCAAAAAATGCGAAGAAACACAAAATAGTTTACAGAAAAGTTCTGGCAGGTCGTATTTGTTTGGTCGAGTGCTGAGCTTTGTTCGAGTAGGGAGGTGGTCGTATACGAAGGTTCCACTGTATTAGGTGAAGTCTGCCCGAAATACCTCAGCATGATAGTGGCTTTCTTTGTACCAATGAAATTATGAAATGTAAAAGCTCATTGTAACCTTTGCTAAGAAATAAACTTTTGTTTGTTTTGTTTTATTTTGTAGTTACAGCTCTTGGCCTCACTGGAAGACTAGTCACTCCTAGTGCTCGCAGTGTCAATGCCTGCAACCTACATAACTCTTGTTCTTGCTATCAATTCAACTCCTGGCGGTCCTCAGCATTGTCAGGATTACTACTACGATTGTTGCTTACTTTATTACCCACTTCCAACTCTACACCAACTAATTTATCCATGTAATCATTTCCAGAGAACACCATAGTGTTTTTCTCTCAGACATCCATAATTCCAAACCTGCTAAAATATTTTTAGAAAAATTTACCACAAAATCAAAATAAATTGAGTAAATGCTCTAGGGGAAGCAGCATTAGGTACTTCATTTACCATTCTCTGAGGGTAACATTCTAGCCTCATGCCTATGAAATTGTCAGACATATGCCTACATGACACCTCTATCGTTTAGTGCTGTACAAATGCTATGAGGCCTCCTCTACTATATAATAATTAACAAAATTAACATTGTAATAATTAACAAAATTAACATCTACAATATTAATAAATTTTTTCAGCTTAACATCTTGTACAACATCGGACTGTACACGTCGCCCTTCCTTGCAACATCTCTGTATCGCTGGGAGCAGTTCACTTACATCTCTGCAGTAAAAGTAAGATAACTACACCTTTATACAGTTAGTAAAAGTAAGGTTTCTTTAACCCTTTGACTGTCGCGGCCGTATATATACGTCTTACGAGGTACAGTGTTTGACGTATATATATTCATAAATTCTAGCGGCTTCAAATCAAGCAGGAGAAAGCTGGTAGGCCCACATGTGAGAGAATGGGTCTGTGTGGTCAGTGTGCACCATATAAAAAAAAATACTGGAGCATGCAGTGCATAATGAGAAAAAAAAAACTCCGACCATTTTTTTAATTAAAATGCCGAGTTTGTAGTCTATTTTTGTATAGTATTTATGGTTGTATTCTCATTTTCTTGTTCTCATTTGATAGAATGGAAAACATATTACAGAAATAGAGGTGATTTTGATTGATTTTACTATAAAAAGAACCTGGAAATGGAGCTCAAAGTAGGGAAAATGTTTGATTTTTGCCAATGTTCAAAAGTAAACAAATGATGTCATTGTCTTATAAATGTCCAACTAGCCATTCTAATATGCAGTCATGAATGGGTTGATGTTATTTATACAATTATTACAGTATTGCAAAAGTCTGCATAATAGTAAGTCTTCTATTTTTTGTTTGAATAAAAATTCAAAATGGAAAGCAAGAGTAATATCAGAGGGGCCTGGAGACATGACTGATGAACAAAGAAAATGTTATTTTAGAGCCAGGAATGTCTGCATTGTTCATTCTGGACCTTATTTTGAAATTGTCATATTTTTTAATTTTCGTGAAATTGGCCAAATTGCAAATTTCTGACCACATTATTGGGTAGTTGAAATTGGTAAATGGGCAGTTTCTTGTACTCAATCAATAGAAAATATGGAGTTCTAAAGAAATAGCTATGAGTTTGGTCGACTGAAACAATGGAATTAGCCGAAAATAGAGCTCAAATTGGGCAAAATCGCCGATTTGTAAATATCGCCGAGGTCGCTAACTTCGCGAGAGCATAATTCCGTCAGTTTTCCATCAAATTTCGTTTTTTTTTGGTGTCATTACAATCGGGAAAAGATTCTCTATCATTTCACAAGAAAAAATAATTTTTTTTTTTTTTTTTTTTTTTTTTTTTTTTTTTTTTTTTTTTTTTTTTTTTTTTGAAATTTTGCGACACCAGGAGACACCTCAGGATTGGGGGTTGCGACAGTCAAAGGGTTAAATAGTAAAAGTAAGATAACTTTAAATAGTAAAAGTAAGATAACTTTAAATAGTACAAGTAAGATAACTTTAAACACTTAGTAAAAAGCAAGATAACTTTAAACAGTTGATAACTACAACGTTAAGTAAAAGTAAGATAACTAACACTTTAAACATATAGTAGAGCAAGATAACTATGACTTTATACAGTTGGTAAAAATGAGATAACTACACCTTTAAACAGTTAGTAAAAGCAAGATAACTACAGTGTTAAACAGTCAGTGAAAAGTATCTACAGGCTCGCATTCCTTTATCCGAAATTCTGAAATTCGAAAATTTCCGAAAACCGAACTTTTTTCATGGAGTGTGGAGCGTCAGCCATCTCCGTGCTGGGTCATGCCGCCACGTGGCGGCGTTGAGAATTATTCAGAAATTCAAAAAGTCTGAAATTCAGAACGGTACAGGCCCTAAGGGTTTCCGGTAAAGGGATGTGCACCTCTACAATGTTAAACAGTAAGAAAAAATAGGTTTAGGGACCCACTAAAAGGTTAAGAGACAATATGTATAAATTAACTTTTACCACATAGGCGATCTTGTACTAAGACAGGGTGACTCAAAAAAGAAAACACATTCACCATCCTTCATTCAGTAGATGTCTTGCCAGAAGTCTGTAGACATTGCCATTAAGGTGACCTCCGAATAGCAACGTCCCTAACCTGTCCTTAATTAAGACTGCAGACACAGTACTTCTCGCCTCCACAACTCAAGTCTGGCCAACCTGTGTTCCTGAATTCCTTCATGAACATTACCTTGCTTAACACTCCAATAGCATGGCAAACCCTAAAAACCACTTGTCTCACACATCCTTGGTAGATGTTCGACACTGTTGCTTAGAAGCACTCCCATCCCCAGTCCATCTCTTCCAAGGATGATCTTTATGCCCCCTTCCCTCCACCTCAGATTTATACACCTTTACCATTTTATTCATTTTTCTTTCTAAATGGCTAAACCCTTTACCCTTTGAATTGTGCCTTTTGTAACCCCATACTATCTGATTTCTGTGATCCTTTTTTTTTTTTTCCTTCAACAAACTGGCTGTATCCTACCAAGGCAGGGTGGCCCAAAAAGAAAAACAAAAATTTCTCTTTTTAAATTTAGTAATTTATACAGGAGAAGGGGTTACTAGCCCCTTGCTCCCGGCATTTTAGTCCCTCTTACAACACGCATGGCTTACGAAGGAAGAATTTTGTTCCACTTCCCCATGGAGATAGGAAATAAACAAGAACAAGAACTAGTAAGAAAATAGAAGAAAACCCAGAGGGGTATGTATGTATATATATGCTTGTACATGTATGTGTAGTGTGACCTAAGTGTAAGTAGAAGTAGCAAGATGTACCTGAAACCTTGTTTATGAGGCAAAAAATGGACACCAGCAATCCTACCATCATGTAAAACAATTACAGGCTTTCGTTTTACACTCACTTGGCAGGACAGTAGTACCTCCCTGGGCAGTTGCTGTCTACCAACTTACTACCTATTCTGTGATCCTTATTCTTTGCATAATATTCACACCAAAAATTGTTCTCAAATATGACATCTCCACTTAATATTTAAAGGCTATGCCTCACACTGGTGCAAAAGGATAGGTACTATTGTACTCTGGTACATTTTCCCTTTTTGCCTCTGCTTATAAACTTTATTCAGACTCCTTAACACACCACCTGCCTTTTTCCCCTCATTTATTTCACGGTTCACCTCATCTTTTGTAGACCCATCTTCCAACACATCAGCTCCCAAGTATCTAAATATATTCACTTCCTCCATATGCTCTTCCTCCAATGTAATATCCAGTACTTCTTTCTTTCAACGCATCGGCCGTATCCCACCGTGGCGGGGTGGCCCGAAAGGAAAAACGAAAGTTTCTCCTTTTAAGTTTAGTAATGTATACAGGAGAAGAGGTCTCTAGCCCCTTGCCTCTGGCATTTTAGTTGCCTCTTACAACACGCGTGACTTATGGAGGAAGAATTCCATTCCACATCCCCATGGAGATCCAGTACTTCATAACCTAAAAAATTTTGTTACTCTCATCAATTTACTCTTTTCTATGTTTATTTTCAATTTATTTTTTTTAAACACCCAAACTCTTCCAACAATCATTGCAACTTTTCTTCAGAATCTCCCAAAAGAACTAAATGTAAATGGAACACCTCCCACATTATATCAGATTCATTCTCTCTCAGTCCCACACATTTCCCCAAAACTCAGTGTCTTCATCCCCTCTATATAAGGTAGCTCTCCATGGGAAAGTGAAGAATTCTTCCTCTGAAAGCCACACATGTTGTAAGAAGCAACTAAAATGCTGGCAGCAAGAGGCTGGTAAGCCCTCCTTTTTAAATTAATACATATAGTCGGACTTGAGTCCTGGAAATGGGAAGTACAATGCCTGCACTTTAAAGGAGGGGTTTGGGATATTGGCAGTTTGGAGGGATATGTTGTGTATCTTTATACGTATATGCTTCTAAACTGTTGTATTCTGAGCACCTCTGCAAAAACAGTGATAATGTGCGAGTGTGGTGAAAGTGTTGAATGATGATGAAAGTATTTTCTTTTTGGGGATTTTCTTTCTTTTTTGGGTCACCCTGCCTCGGTGGGAGACGGCCGACTTGTTGAAAAAAAAAAAAAAACATGTAATATTATGTAATAGTAATATTTTTTGAAGAGGTTCGGGGAAACCGGTTAGCCGGACTTTAGTCCTGGAGGCGGGAAGTACAATGCCTGCACTTTAACCCGTAAACAGTCCAAACGTATATATACGTTTTTTCGACATTTGAAAGTATGTAAAAAAAGTAGATCTTCTTTTTGTTTTTTTACATTTGAAAATGTGTAAAAAAAACTTTGATCTACTTTTTTTTTGTTATATTTGAATTATTATTATAATCAAAAAGAAGTGCTAAGCCACAAGGACTATACAGCTGTTATATTTGAAAATAGGTAAAAAAAAAAAAAAATAGATCTACTTTTGTAGCACTACACATGTGAACGTAGATCTGCTTGGACTGTTTACGGGTTAAAGGAGAGGTTTGGAATATTGGCTGTTTGGAGTGGCATCTAAACTCTCGTATCTGGGCGCCTCTGCAAAGACGGTGATTATGTGTGAATGATGGTGAAAGTGATTCTTTCTTGGGTCACCCTGCCTTGGTGGGAGACAGCTGACATATTAAAAAAAAATAAGATGGTACATATGAAACAAGGGATCTAGCCCTTAAACGGTCCAAATAGATCGACATTCAAATCCGTAGTGCTTCAAAAGTAGATCTATTTTTTTACATATTTTCAAATATAACAGAAAAAAGTGTAGATAAAAGTTTTTTTACACATTTTCAAATGTAAAAAAAAAAAAAGTTGATGTACATTTTTTACATACTTTCAAATGTTGAAAAAACGTATATATACGTTTGGACCGTTTAAGGGCTAGAAGCATATGTGCACTAGAAGCTTTTTGTTATCGAGTCAAGATTATTTCACTATCATTCTTAGGTTTCAAATTTAGATCATCTTGGCTTCCTACCTGACATTTATCCTTCTTTTTTTTTTTTTTTTTTACTGTATAATTTATGTAATGTACTTTATGTAAAAAGTTTGACGTTCATTCCGTTCTAAAGAGGTGCCTTGATGCTGATGATGGGCTCTTGATTCAAGGAAGTGGACCTCTCCGTCCCATCCTTTGTTCGAACCTGATTGCTATGCTACCCTATGTGTTTAGTGCTTAAGTTTTGTATTTCATATACAGTGGACCCTCACCTAACAATATTAATCCGTTCCTGAGAGCTCAACGTTACGCAAAATTATCGTTAGCCGAATTAATTTTCCCCATAAGAAATAATGGAAATCAAATTAATCCGTTCCTGACACCCCAGAGTATGAAAAAAATAATTTTACCACATGAAATATTAATTTTAATACACACAAACTGAAGAGGACATGCACAGTTACATGACACTTACCTTTATTGAAGATCTGGTGATGGGAGGAGGGGAGAGTGTGGATGGTGTTAATGTTTACAAGGGGAATCCCCTTCCATTAGGACTTGAGGTGGCAAGTCCTTTTCCGGGGTTACTTCCCTTCTTCTTTTAATACCATTACTCCTCCTGAGTAATGTAGGTCCTGCTTGGCATTTTCTTCCAAAACAGGCCTGTTTCGTCACAAACACTTGTTCAGGTTTCAGTCCTTCACTGTCTATGTACTCTTTGAATTCCTGCACATATTTTTCAGCCACTTTGTGGTCCGAACTGGCAGCCTCACCATGCCACTACGATTCTTAAATCTCTCAAACCAACCTTTGCTGGCCTTAAATTCACTCACATCACCACTAGTTGCAGGCATTTTTCTAATTAAATCCTCATGCAGCTCCCTAGCCTTTTCACATACGATCGCTTGAGAGATGCTATCCCTGCTATCTGTTTTTCGTTTATCCACACCAATAACAGTCTCTCAACATCTTCTATCACTTGCGATCTCTGTTTCGAAAACAAAGTTGCACCTTTGGCAAGAACAGCTTCCTTGATTGCCGCTTTCTTGGCCACAATAGTAGCGATGGTTGATTGGGGTTTTATGTACAACCTTTCCAGCTCGGAGACACGCACTCCACTTTCATACTTAGCAATGATCTCTTTCTTCATATCCATAGTTATTCTCGCCCTTTTTCCTGTAGGGTTGGCACTAGAAGCTTTCTTGGGGCCCATGGTGACTTATTTTGCAGATGCAATCACTAAAAAGGTTGTGATAATATGAAATATTCCGATTATATGCTTGGAAGCGACCGCGGTGGCTGGCTTGTAAACACTGGCACCCACGGAACAAGTGAGGCGGGCTCAGGCCGCATGTGGACGTGTCTTGAACGAATCGTGTCGAGTGAGTTTTTTAGCGCTAGCTGAGGCAAAATTTTTGCGTTAAAATGTATCGCTAGGCGGATTTGACGTTATGCGATACGTTCGTTAGGCGAGGGTCCACTGTATTTGTGCATGCCAGTTACATCACTACTTCCTTCCTTCTATCTTTAATGATTCCTCATACTGGGAATTAAATTTACCAGCCTTGTATTTTTTGGGGGGCTATAAAATTTGTCATTTATTTCAGTGCAGCACAGGTTTGGGGTTGCTGTTGATCGTGGCTATGGTCTTCAGAGGCTTTGGCCGTCGTCTAAACCCCGTGTACATGTCTTTCTTGAAGATCTTGGCAAAGGCTCAACAAAACAGTCCAACAGATAAGGTGATGGTAGGTAGACAGTACATACAGTATATCTAATGTTCATAAGTCTTTGCATTTAGATAATGATATACATGTACACCTACCATCCGACTTACGACCTGCTCGACTTGCGACCACTCGACTTACAACCGTGTTTTTTATGCCAAATTTCTGGGAAATAAACAACTATTTGTGTTGTACACAGTGTTTATCCTAAACCTTACAGTATAAAATACAGCACTAACAGCATAAAAAGTAAAGTAAAACATGAAATACCAAAATAAAACAATAAAATAGTCATTACAAAAATGTTTTGTTGATATTCAGTAGTAAAGTTCGACTTACGACCATTTCGACTTACGACCGGTTTCTCGGAACCGAACTCGGTCGTAAGTCGGATGGTAGGTGTATATCTTTTTAAAGTTCAAAATTTTGTAAATGATTTTCAGAATAAAGTATTAAGGTTATGCAGTCTTAAGTTAGGTAAGGTTTATCCAGAAACAGGACAAGTGTTTCTTGATGCAGGTCTTAGTCATATGATGACCTGCAGCTGGAGCTTTTGGTCATCTGACCGAAGCCTTCTGCTGGCTTACCACTCCACCCTTTTAAAAATTATTGTTACAGTCTTTTGCTAGTGATCAAGACAAAGAACCAGGAGTTGTCCACAGTTATGTTTTCATTGGCTCCCTCATATGCTTACTTTGCCTTGATGAATTATACACATGTGCAACGTCAATATGACTTGTGAATGGTGCAAGACGGACCAAAACGCCGTCATAAGCTTTTTTCTCTGTGGATTATTAATGTTTCTGGGTATCTTGTAGATGTTTCACCATCCAGTGTCTTTATCAATACATTACATGGATATAATATGAGTCCTGGAGATGGGAAGTACAGTGCCTGCACTCTGAAGGAGGGGTGTTAATGTTGCAGTTTTATAACTGTAGTGTAAATGCTCCTCTGCAAGACAATGATGGAGTGAATGATGAAAGTTTTTCTTTTTCAGACCACCCTGCCTTGGTGGGCCACCCTGCCTTGGTGGGCCACCCTGCCTTGGTGGGCCACCCTGCCTTGGTGGGCCACCCTGCCTTGGTGGGAAACAGCGAATGTATTAATAAAAAATATAATGTGAAAACTGTAGAAATACAGTGGACCCCCGGTTAACGATATTTTTTCACTCCAGAAGTATGTTCAGGTGCCAGTACCGACCGAATTTGTTCCCATAAGAAATATTGTGAAGTAGATTAGTCCATTTCAGACCCCCAAACATACACGTACAAACGCACTTACATAAATACACTTACATAATTGGTCACATTCGGAGGTAATCGTTATGCGGGGGTCCACTGTATACCCAGCAGACAGTGGAAAATAAGATAATGAGTTCCTCAGTCTAGGAGCAGGTGATGAGCACCTTAGTCTCTTCTTGCTGATGGCTGCACCTTTTCTGCAGACTTCTTTTTTCTTTCAGCAAACTGGCTGTATCCCACTGAGGCAGGGTGGCCCAAAAAGAAAAACGAAAGTTTCTCTTTTTAAATTTAGTAATTTATACGGGAGAAGGGATTACTAGCCCCTTGCTCTTTTCACAGACACTTTAATTTCTTAGCTGATATACTTCAAGAAGTATGCAGTACTTTCTTTCAACCCATGTTCTCTCTAACCCTTAAACGGTCCAAACAGATCGACGTTCAAATTCGTAGTGCTACAAAAGTAGGTCTACTTTTTTTTTACATATTTTCAAATATAACAAAAAAAAAATGTAGATAAAAGTTTTTTTTACACGTTTTCAAATGTAAAACAAAAAAGATCTACTTTTTTTTACATACTTTCAGATGTTGAAAAAACGTATATATACGTTTGGACCATTTAACCCTTTGACTGTCGAGGTCGTATATATACGTCTTACGAGGTACCATGTTTGACGTGTATATATACTCACAAATTCTAGCGGCTTCAAATCAAGCAGGGGAAAGCTGGTAGGCCCACATGTGAGAGAATGGGTCTGTGTGGTCAGTGTGCAACATACAAAAAAAATCCTGGAGCACACAGTGCATAATGAGAAAAAAAAAACTCCGACCTTTTTTTTTTTATTAAAATGCCGAGTTTGTAGTCTATTTTTGTATAGTATTTATGGTTGTATTCTCATTTTCTTGGTCTCATTTGATAGAATGGAAAACATATTATAGAAATAGAGGTGATTTTGATTGATTTTACTATAAAAAGAACCGGGAAATGGAGCTCAAAGTAGGGGAAATGTTTGATTTTTGCCAATGTTCAAAAGTAAACAAATGATGCCATTGTCCAATAAATGTCCAACTAGCTATTCTAATATGCAGTCATGAATGGGTTGATGTTATTTATACAATTATTACAGTATTGCAGTAGTCTGCATAATAGTAAGTCTTCCATTTTTTGTTTGAATAAAAATTCAAAATAGAAAGCAAGAGTAATATCAGAGGGGCCTGGAGACATGACTGATAAACAGAGAAAATGTTATTTTAGAGCCAGGAATGTCTGCATTGTTCATTCTGGACCTTATTTTGAAATTGTCATATTTTTTCATTTTTGTGAAATTGGCCAAATTGCAAATTTCTGACCACGTTATTGGGTAATTGAAATCGGTAAATGGGCAGTTTCTTGTGCTCAATCAATAGAAAGAATGGAGTTCTAAAGAAAAAGCTATGAGTTTGGTCGACTGGAACAATGGAATTAGCTGAAAATAGGGCTCAAAGTGGGCGAAATCGCCAATTTGTAAATATCGCCGAGGTCGCTAACTTCGCGAGAGCGTAATTCCGTCAGTTTTCCATCAAATTTCGTCTTTTTGGTGCCATTACAATCGGGAAAAGATTCTCTATCATTTCATAAGAAAAAATTTTTTTTTTTTAAATTTTGCGACACCAGGAGACACTTCAGTATTGGGGGTTGCGACAGTCAAGGGGCTAAGAGTTAAGCCATTTCTTCCTTACCACCATATCTTTTTTTCTTTGCTGTGCAATGTTGAATAACCTTTATGGGCTTAGCACTTTTCCTGACTAATGAGCAATTTCCAAATTGTTAGGTAAATGGACAGCTTCATCTAATGTGACATTTTATTGTGGTAATGTATCACTCTCCAGGATCTTCACTGTTCTTCTTTGTATTGGACTGAGGAAGCCAGTGAGGCAAGATATTTCCACTTTACTGATACCCAGGTGTTGCACATGTGTCTGTTTTATCAGTTTGTCTGTTCTCTGAACCATTTATCTACAATTTTTTTGTATTGCATGTTATAGTGAATGGTTGACAGATATTTAATTTCAGGAGCCACTGCGAAAGTACGAGTTTGATTTCTCAGCTTGGCCCATTAACTTCGACTGGACTGAGACAGAACGGTATGTTTATATTCTTTACTTTGTCTGATATTAAGTTGTAAATGGGTTAATAAGTAGTTTTTTATTCTCTTTAGAAAACTAACATCAATATTAATGTCACTACAATGTCACTTCACCTTTTAAATATCTTAGAATTTATAAAAATACCAGTCACATTGGAAATAAAAGTACGCATCTTTAGAACGTGTGTAAACACATGAAGCGCTCAGGTTTTATTTCCTGTTTGCACTTCGGTATTTTTACATATTTGCAATCATATGTTTTATTGTGATTTCTTCCATCTTAAGATTTATTTACCTGCTTTTTATGGGCTATCATCTTTCTTTGCTGGTCTCTCAGTTTATTCAGATGATTTCTTAGGGTTTGGTTGATGCTGAGTACAGGCAGTTGAGATAACTGTTAGCCAGATAACTAATGTTAGTTTGAGCCTCTGGAATATTATTTGCAAGATTAGTTTGTATTGAAGAGAAGAAGCTGTCAGGTTTGTTTATAAGATAAGTAACTGCAAAGAGTTATGTCTCTGGTTTCATTAAATCATTTGAGATACAGTGGACCCCCGGTTAACGATATTTTTTCATTCCAGAAGTATGTTCAGGTGCCAGTACTGACCGAATTTGTTCCCATAAGGAATATTGTGAATTAGATTAGTCCATTTCAGACCCCCAAACATACACGTACAAACGCACTTACATAAATACACTTACATAATTGGTCGCATTGGGAGGTGATCATTAAGCGGGGGTCCACTGTACAGTGGAACCTCGGTATATGACCAGCTCCCTACTCGAACAAAGCTCAGCATGTGACCCAACAAATACAACCTGCCAGAACTTCGCTGTAAACTATTTCGTGTTTCTTTGCATTTTTTGGTGTTTTTTTTTTTGTATTATTTGAATAAATAAGTTGGCTGTTATCATGATTAGTGATAGTCAACTAAACAGAAAATTAGTTGGGAAGAACTTGTTCGATACTCAAACAGATCGGCACTCGAACAGCCTTCTGGAATGAATTAAGGGCGTATACCGTGGTTCCACTTTAATAGTATATATGTTTGGCATTTCTAATTAGACTTGTAAATATTATCTAATAGGTAAAGGTTATTAGGTAGTAGGTTGGTAGACAGCAACCACCCAGGGAGGTACTACTGTCCTGCCATGTGAGTGTAAAACGAAAGCCTGTAATTGTTTTACATGATGGTAGGATTGCTGGTGTCCTTTTTTCCTGTCTCATGAACATGCAAGATTTCAGGTACGTCTTGCTACTTCTACTTACACTTAGGTCACACTACACATACATGTACATGCATATATATACACACCCCTCTGGGTTTTCTTCTATTTTCTTTCTAGTTCTTGTTCTTGTTTATTTCCTCTTATCTCCATGGTGAAGTGGAACAGAATTCTTCCTTCGTAAGCCATGCGTGTTGTAAGAGGCAACTAAAATGCCAGGAGCAAGGGGCTAGTAACCCCTTCTCCTGTATATATTACTAAATTTGAAAGGAGAAACTTTCGTTTTTCCTTTTGGGCCGTCCCCGCCTCGGTGGGATACGGCCGGTGTGTTGAAAGAAAGAAGTAAAGGTTATCTAATGTTATGTAATAGGTAAAGTTCAGAGTATTTGCGTGCATATACAAAAATAATAGGATGTTGAAAACTTATGTTAAATGTACGAGACAAGAGAATCATTGGTAATAGATTAACAATAGTAAACCTAAATAAAATGCTAAAGACTCAAGAAATCGTAATGACACGATTACAAACAAACCCCCGGCCGGGTTGAACCCGCGGTCATAGAGTATGGTTTGTTTGTAATTGTGTCATTACGATTTCTTGAGTCATGTTGAAGGCAGTGAAGGGACTTGAGCTAGAGTTCGTCACGGCCACGCTAGCTGGAGATTCCTCTGTAAAAACTTGCATTTGTGGTCACAGTGGTGCCTGTGCTAACCTTCCTATGGTGTAGAAATATACCTAGTTGGATGAATCTTATTGTGGCTAGCTGGTCTAGTGGCTAACGCGACGGGCTGGAGTTTTGAGACTATGACCGCGGGTTCAATCCCGGCCGGGGGTATGGTTTAAAATGCTAAAGCTTAAGATGATTTTTTTTCAGTTTAGTGTACATTGATACATAGCACTAGTTTGTGAAGGTATGAGATTGAAACTTGAGTCGTAATAAAAAATCTAACAAGTCAGAATCGGAGAGAAATCTGGATAAATCCTCTTCACAGATTATTGCAGATCTTAAGCATGGAAGTTTTTTGCTACAGTTTACTCTCTTACACAAAACATTAACGAATTTTAACCTATTTTTTCTTGTTTATATAAAAGCTTTTTTTTAGTATTCTGACGTTTGAAATATAAAATCTGTTGTTCCTCATTAACAACAGCATAATATGTTTACTGAAAAATACTGTAAACAAATACAGATAATTTATTTTTCTGCAGTATACAGTAAACTACATTAGTTTATATATAATAAACTATTATTAGGGATAAAAAGCCACATAATATATAGGTACATTTATCCTTTTGTTCTTTAGGTATGAGCGCAAACCACGTGTTTATGTGGACAGAGGTCTGACACGTAGAAAGGGCGGGATTATCAACCAAATTGCAACGATGCCTTGCCAGATAATAGCTTGGATTGTCACCATCCTTATTGGCAAGAAAATGATTTACCCTGGCTCTATACAGCTGTTGCAGATTGCTGTTGGTAAGTTGTTTTTGAAGGGATTCATGGATACAAGTTGGCTGGACTTGAGTCCTGGAGGTGAGAAGTACAGTGCCTGCGCTCTGAAGGAGGGGCGGAGATATGTTAAAATTTTTGAACTGTAGTAGCAACATGCTTCTGGCAAGACATTGATGAAGAGAGTGATGATGAAAGTGTTTCTTCTTTTTTGGGTCACCCTGTCTTAGTGGGAGGCAGCCAGCAAATTAAAAAAAAAAAAAAAAAGTTTTTTAATGGGTGATAAACTGTCTTTAATGGAAAATAAAGAATTCATCTCATCAGCATTGTCATTAAATACTAGTTTTAAGTATGTAAAATAATTGGTCTAGGAAAATGTGATTACATTTGCAGGAAGAAACTGATATTGATGGAAGCTACGTAAATGTGAAAGGTTGTGGGTGTGGTGAAGTGTAGCTTCAGGGGCCGCAGCCCAGGCAGCCCAGCTGGAGTGCTTCTACAGATGTTTCAACTTAACAGTTTACTGATGTTTTAGAGAAATTTGTTTCCAGGAAATTACATAAAGCAAATGTTTAACCCCGTCTCCTCTATTAATTACTAAACGTAAAAAAAAAAAAAAATCTCTTCTTTTCTGGGTTGCCCTGCCTTGGTGAGAGACCGCCGGTATGTTAAAAAAATATGAAAGCCAGTCAGTTGACTACAGTGGACCCCCGGTGAACGATATTTTTTCACTCCAGAAGTATGTTCAGGTGCCAGTACTGACCAAATTTGTTCCCATAAGGAATATTGTGAAGTAGATTAGTCCATTTCAGACCCCCAAACATACACGTACAAATGCACTTACATAAATACACTTACATAATTGGTCGCATTGGGAGGTGATCGTTAAGCGGGGGTCCACTGTATATGTATATACAATATTTCACAAAGTGAGTCAATATATCTGAAATGCGTAGGGAGACACTGGTCAGAGAAATAGCAAGCATCGAACTCAAGCTAAAGGAATCTTATAGAAGTCAGGAATCGCGGGAAGAACTGAAAGCCATAAATGAAATCGAAAGAAACCCAAAGTATTTCTTCTCCTATGCCAAATCAAAGTCGAAAACAACATCCAGTATTGGGCCCCTTCTTAAACAAGATGGGTCCTACACAGATGACAGCAAGGAAATGAGTGAGCTACTCAAGTCCCAATATGACTCAGTTTTTAGCAAGCCGCTAACCAGACTGAGAGTCGAAGATCAAAATGAATTTTTTATGAGAGAGCCACAAAATTTGGTTAACACAAGCCTATCCGATGTTATCCTGATGCCAAATGACTTGGAACAGGCGATAAATGACATGCCCATGCACTCTGCCCCAGGGCCAGACTCATGGAACTCCGTGTTCATCAAGAACTGCAAGAAGCCCCTATCACGAGCCTTTTCCATCCTATGGAGAGGGAGCATGGACACGGGGGTCGTCCCACAGTTACTAAAAACAACAGACATAGCCCCACTCCACAAAGGGGGCAGTAAAGCAATAGCAAAGAACTACAGACCGATAGCACTAACATCCCATATCATAAAAATCTTTGAAAGGGTCCTAAGAAGCAAGATCACCACCCGTCTAGAAACCCATCAGTTACACAACCCAGGGCAACATGGGTTTAGAACAGGTCGCTCCTGTCTGTCTCAACTATTGGATCACTACGACAAGGTCCTAAATGCACTAGAAGATAAAAAGAATGCAGATGTAATATATACAGACTTTGCAAAAGCCTTCGACAAGTGTGACCATGGCGTAATAGCGCACAAAATGCGTGCTAAAGGGATAACAGGAAAAGTCGGTCGATGGATCTATAATTTCCTCACTAACAGAACACAGAGAGTAGTCGTCAACAGAGTAAAGTCCGAGGCAGTTACGGTGAAAAGCTCTGTTCCACAAGGCACAGTACTCGCTCCCATCTTGTTCCTCATCCTCATATCCGACATAGACAAGGATGTCAGCCACAGCACCGTGTCTTCCTTTGCAGATGACACCCGAATCTGCATGACAGTGTCTTCCATTGCAGACACTGCAAGGCTCCAGGCGGACATCAACCGAATCTTTCAGTGGGCTGCAGAAAACAATATGAAGTTCAACGATGAGAAATTTCAATTACTCAGATATGGTAAACACAAGGAAATTAAATCTTCATCAGAGTACAAAACAAATTCTGGCCACAAAATAGAGCGAAACACCAACGTCAAAGACCTGGGAGTGATCATGTCGGAGGATCTCACCTTCAAGGACCATAACATTGTATCAATCGCATCTGCTAGAAAAATGACAGGATGGATAATGAGAACCTTCAAAACTAGGGAGGCCAAGCCCATGATGACACTCCTCAGGTCACTTGTTCTATCTAGGCTGGAATATTGCTGCACACTAACAGCACCTTTCAAGGCAGGTGAAATTGCTGACCTAGAAAATGTACAGAGAACCTTCACGGCGCACATAACGGAGATAAAACACCTCAATTACTGGGAGCACTTGTGGTTCCTAAACCTGTATTCCCTGGAACGCAGGCGGGAGAGAGACATGATTATTTACACCTGGAAAATCCTAGAGGGACTAGTACCGAACTTGCACACGAAAATCACTCGCTACGAAAGCAAAAGACTTGGCAGACGATGCAACATTCCCCCAATGAAAAGCAGGGGTGTCACTAGCACGTTAAGAGACCATACAATAAATGTCAGGGGCCCAAGATTGTTCAACTGCCTCCCAGCACACATAAGGGGGATTACCAACAGACCCCTGGCAGTCTTCAAGCTGGCACTGGACAAGCACTTGAAGTCGGTTCCTGACCAGCCGGGCTGTGGCTCGTACGTTGGTTTGCGTGCAGCCAGCAGCAACAGCCTGGTTGACCAGGCTCTGATCCACCAGGAGGCCTGGTCACAGACCGGGCCGCGGGGGCGTTGACCCCCGGAACTCTCTCCAGGTAAACTCCAGGTAAACCTAGACTTCACTATAATCCTAAACTGTAAACTGAATTACTTCATCTAATAGACTATTCATTAGATTTAGATAATGCTTTTTCTAAAATAGTTTAGTAATTCTGCCTTGAGGTGGTAACATTCCTCTGCTTAATTATTTTTAAAACAAATATTATCATTACAGATCAGTATCTCCTCCAAGGAAGAGAGAAATTAATACAAGAACAAGGAGGACTTCGCAACAAAGTCACTACTCGAGATGGAAACAGCATTGATACAATGCTCGTGGATAGACGAGGAAAGTTAGTACAAAACTGTCATGTCAAACAACTTTCTTTTATATATAGATAGGAGATGACAGGGAAACTGGTTAGACAGACTTGAGTCCTGGAGGTGGGAAGTACAGTGCCTGTGCTGTGGAGATAAGTTACAGTTTTTCAACTGTAGTATTGGCATCCTTCTGGCAAGACAGTGGAGGGAGTGACAATGAAAGTGTTTCTTTTTTGATTCGCCGTGCCTCGGTGGGAAATGGCCGATGTGTTAAAAAAAAAGTAGAGAGTAGCTAATAAGTAAAAGGAATTACCAGAAAAATTTTAAAGCTAGAAACATTATTATGCTGGTGAAAGAGTTTCTTTTTTGGGTCACCCTTCCTCAGTGGGAGACAGCCAGTTTGTTGAAAAGAAAACCGTAAAAAGTTGATCTGCAACTCATTTTGCTTCTTGTAAAGGAGAATGCTGGGGTATTAGTATGCTACCTGATGCCTTTTTTTTTTTTTTTTTTGACTTGTGTAGAATAGAGGGTGTCTGTGGGTTATGACTGATTAAGTTAGTGATCTAATCAAGCCATCAGTGGACTTCAGCCTAGGACCTGCCATTCCATTTCTGCTACTTGAATTCTCACCTATAGTGTATCTTTATACGTATATGCTTCTAAACTGGTGTATTCTGAGCACTTCTGCAAAAACAGTGATTATGTGTGAGTGAGGTGAAAGTGTTGAATGATGATGAAAGTATTTTCTTTCTGGGAATTTTCTTTCTTTTTTGGGTCACCCTGCCTCGGTGGGAGACGGCCGACTTGTTAAGAAAAAAAAAAGTTACACAGAGCAGTGTAGCAGGCCATTTGCAGGTATGTTGCATCTCTCGTGGGTTGAGGGATGTGGATGTGTTCAGCACTGATAGTACAAGAATTGCACATCTAGTGATATAATAGGTACTTGTGGCGTGTGGTAATCTGTGGTGTCTCAGTGAAGAATCCCCAACTAAAATGCCAGGAGCAAGGGGCTAGTAGCCCCTTCTCCTGTATATATTACTAAATTTAAAAGGAGAAACTTTCATTTTTTCTTTTGGGCATCCCCGCCTCGGTGGGACACAGCCGGTTTGTTGAAAGTAGTAGTGGTAGTAGTAGTGTATAATACATTAGCCTGTGGAGGCTTCATCACTAGATTAGTCTTATAAATTAAGAGTGGCTAAGGAAATGTGGCACAATTGAATAGGCATACTTGTCATGTAGGGGGGTATTGGAACGTAAGGGATATAAGTGGGGAATATGAGAGTAAGGGATTATGTAGGCAGGGGAGAGGCAGGGGAAGTGGTAGGAGTGAGATGATTAGCAGAGGTAGGTAGGTAATGACAGGTCAGTGGTGACCACCACGACACTCTCATTAACTCTACACTACTCACTAACATATGCCTCGCCCATTCTTCACTCATATATAAACATAATAAAATATAGGAAAAAAGAATAAATAACGGTGGGCAGTGAATATTACTATTCTACTCAAACACAGTTTATTATTAAGTCCTTGTACAATAATATATTTGGGAACAGAACATTATTGTGGTGTAGATAAATGGGGTGGTACACATAAGCAGTGAGACAGGGAACACAATCAACTTGACCAAAATGAATGTAACTTACAATATAGTTCAGAGGGCAGTTCATCACAGGAACTAAGCCACAGGTCCCAAGACCTACACAGCACGAGTACTGTGCCAAGCCAGTACTCTGCCCAGTGCCTCCAACAGTCTCCTCCAGAGACTTCAGCAGCCTTCTCCCGAGCCCTGCACCCCAGCAGCAGCTCCGCTCGAATCTCTGCTCAGGAGCTCTGCACTCCAGCAGCAGCTCCGCTTGAATCTCCTGATCATGCTCTTCCTTGGGCTTTTATGGTGGTCCAAACACCCTCCACAACCACGTGTACGACCTGACGCCTAGGTCTGACGCCGTCAAGAACAAAAGACCTCAGACGTGGGCGTGGCTACAGACGTTTGCCAAGGCAAGGCGTGACCATATAATTGGTTAAATTAGGTCTCCCCCGAGACCTCACAAGCCCAGCTGAACTACATCACATACTGTGGATCCACTGCTCTTCTCTCCCCCCCACTTAGGGAGGTCTGATGATTTGGGAAATCAGCCCTGTGATTTCCCATACTGCTGGCTTGAAATGAATTATAAAAATATAGATTGTGTATAGGGCAAGGAGGAATAACATCTTGTAGGAGTGAGGAAGAGCCAGTTGTGAGTATGGGGGAAGTTCGTGAGGCAGTAGGTAAAATGAAAGGGGGTAAGGCAGCCAGGATTGATGGGATAAAGATAGAAATGTTAAAAGCAGGTGGGGATATAGTTTTGGAGTGGTTGGTGCAATTATTTAATAAATGTATGGAAGAGGGTAAGGTACCTAGGGATTGGCAGAGAGCATGCATAGTTCCTTTGTATAAAGGCAAAGGGGACAAAAGAGAGTGCAAAAATTATAAGGGGATAAGTCTGTTGAGTATACCTGGTAAAGTGTATGGTAGAGTTATTATTGAAAGAATTAAGAGTAAGACGGAGAATAGGATAGCAGATGAACAAGGAGGCTTTAGGAAAGGTAGGGGGTATGTGGACCAGGTGTTTACAGTGAAACATATAAGTGAACAGTATTTAGATAAGGCTAAAGAGGTTTTTGTGGCATTTATGGAGGAGGAGGCATATGACAGGGTGGATAGGGGGCAATGTGGCAGATGTTGCAGGTGTATGGTGTAGGAGGTAGGTTACTGAAAGCAGTGAAGAGTTTTTACGAGGATAGTGAGGCTCAAGTTAGAGTATGTAGGAAAGAGGGAGATTATTTCCCAGTAAAAGTAGGCCTTAGACAAGGATGGATGTGTGATGTCACCGTGGTTGTTTAATATATTTATAGATGGGGTTGTAAGAGAAGTAAATGCGAGGGTCTTGGCAAGAGGCGTGGAGTTAAAAGATAAAGAATCACACACAAAGTGGGAGTTGTCACAGTTGCTCTTTGCTGATGACACTGTGCTCTTGGGAGATTCTGAAGAGAAGTTGCAGAGGTTGGTGGATGAATTTGGTAGGGTGTGCAAAAGAAGAAAATTCAAAGTGAATACAGGAAAGAGTAAGGTTATGAGGATAACAAAAAGATTAGGTGATGAAAGATTGGATATCAGATTGGAGGGAGAGAGTATGGAGGAGGTGAATGTATTCAGATATTTGGGAGTGGACGTGTCAGCGGATGGGTCTATGAAAGATGAGGTGAATTTTTATTTATTTATTTATTTATTTATTATAAATTTGTGCACACATACAGAGGTACAAAAAAAAATACAGATAAGAGCAGTATGCCAAAGCCACTTATACTATGCATAGCATTACGGGCTGGCTTAAAATTAACTTAAGATTAACTAAGCAATGATGAAGTCAGTGATAAAACATTAATGCAAACAGATTACTATAAAGCACAAGTGAGTATTACAAAGACAGGTCATATGAAGGATTCTGTAAGGTAGTGTATTTAAAAATAATAAAGTTAGATTCGGTTTTAGGTTTAACATTTATGTGATATAATTGTGAGAAACATTTAAGATATACAATTTATAAGGTTCAGTTATTCAGTATTTATTTGATGAGGGGAAAAGGGTGAGCGGTGCACTTAGGAGTCTGTGGAGACAAAGAACTTTGTCCTTGGAGGCAAAGAGGGGAATGTATGAGAGTATAGTTTTACCAATGCTCTTATATGGGTGTGAAGCATGGGTGATGAATGTTGCAGCGAGGAGAAGGCTGGAAGCAGTGGAGATGTCATGTCTGAGGGCAGTGTGTGGTGTGAATATAATGCAGAGAATTCATAGTTTGGAAGTTAGGAGGAGGTGCGGGATTACCAAAACTGTTGTCCAGAGGGCTGAGGAAGGGTTGTTGAGGTGGTTCGGACATGTAGAGAGAAATGGAGCGAAACAGAATGACTTAAAAGAGTGTATCAGTCTGTAGTGGAAGGAAGGGGGGGGTAGGGTCGGCCTAGGAAAGGTTGGAGGGGGGGGGGTTAAAGGAGGTTTTGTGTGCGAGGGGCTTGGACTTCAGCAGGCATGCGTGAGCGTGTTTGATAGGAGTGAATGGAGACAAATGGTTTTTAATACTTGACGTGCTGTTGGAGTGTGAGCGAAGTAACATTTATGAAGGGATTCAGGGAAACCAGCAGGCCGGACTTGAGTCCTGGAGATGGGAAGTACAGTGCCTGCACTCTGAAGGAGGGGTGTTAATGTTGCAGTTTAAAAACTGTAGTGTAAAGCACCCTTCTGGCAAGACAGTGATGGAGTGAATGATGGTGAAAGTTTTTCTTTTTCGGGCCAACCTGCCTTGGTGGGAATCGGCCAGTGTGATAATAAAATAAAGGATTGTGGCATGAGGCTTGAACTGTTTTTATTATATTGTGATAATGACTTTAGCGATAAAACAGCAAATTGGTCAAAATAGTAAGTTGGTAATGGTAGTTTAGTAGCAGATTGGTAAATATAATTGCAAATTGTAATATCAGCAGTTGTATTTAAACCATTAAACCACTAAAGATTCTAAGATATTACAAATCAATGTGTTGTACTTTGACTTGAGGCTTGAAAAACCAGTTTGAATTCCCCATTTTATAAAATTATTCACTAGCATTTGCTACCTTAGAATATGTTTGGTAATATAGTAGAGTGGTGAGGTAGAATGTGGTATATTTGGCTCATAATAAAACTGCAAAAATCAATATAATTCAGCATTAGCTTAACATAATACAGTGGACCCCCGGTTAACGATATTTTTTCATTCCAGAAGTATGTTCAGGTGCCAGTACTGACCGAATTTGTTCCCATAAGGAATATTGTGAAGTAGATTAGTCCATTTCAGACCCCCAAACATACACGTACAAATGCACTTACATAATTGGTCGCATTGGGAGGTGATTGTTAAGCGGGGGTCCACTGTAATTTTAACCTCGCAGTATTCATTTGAATGATAAATTATTATAAATCATTTTGACAGAAAGCAGTATCCAAATGGAAAGACCTTGGTGGTGTGCTGTGAAGGAAATGCTGGCTTCTATGAAGTTGGAATTATGTCGACACCATTAGAAGCCGGGTTCTCAGTGCTAGGATGGAACCATCCAGGATTTGCTTCCAGCACAGTTAGTAATATATTTGTTCTATTGCGCTGTATGTTTGCAAAGTTCCTTGAAGGATATATATACCCTGAAGTGCATCTCTCATTGTGTATATACACAGAGTTTAGTCCTTATTTTTGTGGATTACAGTATTATTGACTGATGGTATACATATCTGAAGTATACCTGGACGGTGTTTTAGGGGTCAACACCCCAGGGGCCTGGTCCGTGACCAGGCCTCAAGGTGTATCAGGGCCTGATTGCCCAGGCCCTACATAAACTGATGTACAAGCCACAGCCTGGCTTGTCAGGAGATGACTTTAGGTGCCTGTCCAGCTCCCTCTTGAAGACAGCCAGGGGTCTATTGGTAATCCCCCTTATGTATGCTGGGAGGCAGTTGAACAGTCTTGGGCTCTTGCCATTTTTATTGTGTTTTTCTTAGGGGTACTCATAGTGCCCCCTCCCTTTTTCTTTGGGGGGAATTTGTTGGATATCCGGGCCAAAGCCCTTTAGCTTTCATAGAGAGGTTTTTCCCTTTGAAAGTTTTGGGATATTTCACTAGGTTTTTTTTTACCGGGTGTATATTTTCATGTATTTTTCTTGTCTGTTTTCCCCAGGGGGTAAAAATAAAGGACTTTTAACCCGTTCCCAAAATTTAGGTGCTTTATTTTAAACTTAATCTTTTGGCCATGAAAGCTCTCTGTAAATTTTTCCAGGTTTTGAAATTTTTCCCCTCCCTTAAAAAGGGGCCCCTTTATGTACAGCAATATTCCCCCCATAATAAATATGGATTTAGCAATTTTAAAAAAACAAATTTAATAAGAAAGGGCCTTTCTGTTTTTTTTCATTTGATAAAACATAAGTAAAAATGGCATCACTTTCAGGGGAAACACCATACCCAAGTCAAAAAACAGAATGCAGTAGTTTCATGATGCAATTTGCAATTCACGGCTTAGGCTTCAGAGAAGGGGACATCATTTTTTTACGGCTGGAGTAGGGGTGGATACACCACACCTGGGCGGGAAATAAATTACCCCACAGGTGTGTATGCCCCTTTTTTTTATTTCTTATTTTTTTTTTTTTTAATTTTCCCTTTCCATATTTTTAAACCATTCAAAAAGATATTTTTTTTATTTTTTTTAAGTTCCAAGGGGATTTATATTCTTTTTAAAAGGACATTTTTAAAAAAGAAAAAAAATTAACAAAATAAATACTGAGCTTATTTAAGAAAAGCAATGTTGCTCTTGCAATCCGGGAAATAAATTTGCCTTTTTTCCCTTATTTTTTCCCTTCCGGCAACAATTTTTCTGAAAACTGACTAATAAAACGCCAAAAAAACAGAAAGGGAAAAACCATCAGATGTTACTTTTTTTGGGAAAAAACTAAAAAAATTCCCTTCTAAACTAGCTATAAGTGAAATTTTCCCGTGATTTTGACCATTCTATTTTTATTAGTTTAAAAAAGGGCCCCTTTGTAAATATGGAATTTGTTTTTTTGATATTGTCTAAAATCATTTATTTTATGTAAAAAGGGAAAAATTTTACATGTCAAACCCCCAACCCCGCATGTTGATTCCCCCGAGAAATTAAAAATGTTTCAGTACATTTGGGTCCCCTTTTAAATTTTTTTTTTTTATGCTTTGGGCCCTCTCTCACTAAAATAAAGGGGGACCCCAAAAAAAAAATGGGTTTCAAACCCCCAAACCCAAAATTTTCATGTCAGGGTGGGGTTTTTTTTTAAAAAAAATTTTCAAAAGCCCGATTTAATAAACCCCTTTGGCAATTTCCCCAAAATTTTTAAAAAATTTTTTTCAAAATGGGAAAGGAAAATTTTTATTCAAAAGGGTGGGGTTTAAAATTTAAATGCTTCAGAAATAAAATAAAAAGGGAAAAAAAGGTTTATAATTGGCTGGCTTTAGCCCCCCAAGGTGGGGGGGAAAAGTCCAACCCCTCTTTTAAAAGAGGGGTGGAGAATTTTTTTTTTTAAACAATTGGCCGTTTCCCCACCCCAGGCAAGGGGGACCCCAAAAAAAAAAAAAAAACTTTTTGTCATCCCCCTCCCCCCCCTTCCCCAAAACTCCCCCATCACTCACACACAATACGTCTTTGCAGAGGCCCCTCAGATACACAGTTAAGAAGTCCCCCCCCAAAATTTCCAAAAATCCCCAAACCCCTCCCCTTTAAAATCAAAGGGATTTTACTTCCCCTTTTTCCCGGGCCCCAAGTCTAGCTAACTGTTTTTCCCCCGAATCCCTTTACAAAATAAATTTCCCTACTTTACACTCCCAAAAGCTCGTCAAGGGCTTAAAAAAAAAATTTGTCTCCATTCACTCCTATCTAACACGCCACGCACGCTTTCTGGAAATTCAAGGCCCCCCCCCCCCACAAAATTCCCCTTTAACCCCCCCCCCTCCAATCTTTTCGGGGAAAGACCCCTACCCCCCTTCCTTCCCCAATAATTTACAAGTCTCCAAGTCATTTTTACTTTGTTTTTCCCTTCTCTCTAAATTAAACCCAAAACCACCTCCCACCAAACCCTTTTTTTCTGTTTAGTGTCACCCTGCCCCTGGCAAAAAGTGAAAGGAAACAAGTGATAATGAATGTGTTTCTTCCTTTTTTGGGGCACCCCAACCCCAGTGGGGAAAAGGCCCGTTTTCTTTAAAAAAAAGAATTTATTTGGTTTCAAGAAAATATAACAGCTGAAAAATTTTATTGTAGAATTGTCTGATCAACATTGTCATGGCATGGCTTACACCCGTTTTTTTTAAAAAGTTTATAAATATCAGAATTATCACCTGCTGTGGCAATTTTTCATGTGTGTGTGTGTGTGGAACAGTGCACTCCCACATGTGCACATGCGCGCTCCAACTTTTTTTTAATGCATTGGCCTCTCCCACCGTGAGAAATCACAAAAGCGTTTGGGAAGTTCACTATTTTTAGAGGGTTGTTCTGCATTAAATGTAGGATCACCTGGGTGGAGATAAGAATTTGTGTGGTGGTGGTAGTGTAGTAGGAGTGGGGGTGGGTGGGTAGTAGTAGTAGTAGGAGTGGGGTTTCTAGGTTGCTACGGATGGCGGGTTTACTTTTTTTAAATTCAGCAAGAAAAATTTAATTTTCAGAAAAAATATATGGGCAAAAAGGTTTGAAATTTTGTCTGGCATCAGTTTTCCACAACTCTCAGATCGTGGCTGATTCCGGGTTTTCCATTTTGATGACTCTTCCAGGGTCTACTGGGGGGATGCCGCGTGCATGGGAGCATTGTACTGCTGCTTTTCCCAAATCACTGAATCTAAAAACCGGGCATCGTTATCTTCTATTGGTCCCGTCACTCTTTTTCGGCGTACTAAGGATGAAAAAAAATACCACAAGTGAGTTGTGCCTTTTACATCATTTTTGTATCATTTTCTAGGAACCCTTGAGAAGTGGTTCCGAGGCCTTGACCAAGAAAAGTGTATAGCCATTAAATTGGTTGGAGGGGTTGTGTTTATTTTTTTTTTATTTTTTTTTTTTTTAGCAAGGGAGTTGTTTATTGTTAAGATAATTTTTTAAGTAAATGCTCATGAAATCTAATAACACAGTTGCAAAAAAAACCAATCACAGGTGGGAATTGAATCGGGGGTTTTAGTCCCCCCCCTTGATTTTTTTTTTTAAAAAAAACTTTGGGAAATTTAATATTAGAGAGTATTGTGTAATATGGGAAAAAAATCAGAAAATTTTTCAAAAAGGTTGGCAGTGACTTTTGGGAAACTGTACAGAGACCCTCACTTTTAACGATGGTTTAACCCTTAAATGTCCAAACGTAGATTACGTTTTGTGTAGCACTCCCCACCCTTTATTTTTCCCTTTTTAAAGCATGTAAAAAAAAAGTAGTTACTTTTGGGGCGCCTGATGTGGCATAGATCTATGTTTGGACAGTTTAAGGGTGAACGAGTAGGATTCATCCAGCTGTCGACCCAAAGTATTTTTAAAACTGAATGAGAAAAATTTGGCCCCTGGAAAATTTCTACCCTTGCTTAATTTAAATGTTGAGGGGAAGATAATGAAAAATTATGGAATATGCGGGGGAGAGCTAACTAACGAAGATTTAATGAGTTGGAAGCGCAGAGCACTTTAGCTTTATTAAAGAAGTTCATGTAAAAGGGGTTAGTGGTTAGTTTTGGAAAATGAATGTTTGCTCTGTTAGAAAATAGAGGGACGGACCCCAAAATTTTTAACAGTTCACAAAAATTTAACGGGAGATGGATGAACTTTTACGATGCTATCATGAAATTTTTTGAAGAAAAAAAGGGAAATAACAAAGGGACCACAGAATGGGATTCTTGGGAAAACTAACCCCGGGCCCCCCCCTAAAGTCCTTCCATTTCCATCCATCATCTTCTTACCCCCGGGGCCCCCTACACCTGATAAACCCCGTGATAATTCCAATGATGACGCTCCTCTTTATCACCAATTGCTTTAAAGCTAGTCGTAGGAACGAAATCATCGTTAAGTAGGGTGCCTCTTTTTTGTTTTGAAGCACGGGTTTAAAAAATTTTTTTGCAAATTGTATATTTTAAACATAGGAGTAGGTTGTAAAAACAGGCCCCCCGGGGGTACTCCGTTTCCCCGCCGTGAGTGTAAAACGAAAGCCTGTAATTGTTTTACATGATGGTAGGGTTGCTGGTTTCCTTTTTTCTTCTCGAACATGCAAGATTTCGGGCGTCTTGCTCTTCTACTTTTCACTTAGGTCACACTCAAACATGTCAAGCACTATATACGCACCCCTTGGGGTTTTCTTCTATTTTCTTTCTGTTCTTATTCTTGTTTTTTTTCTCTTATCTCCATGGGGAAAATGGAACAGAATTCTTCCTCCTAAGCCTGGTGTTGTAAAGGCGACAAAATGCCGGGGGCAAAGGGGTAGTAAACCCCCTTTTTCCTGTTTTATTTCTAAATGTTAAAGGAGAAACTTTTGTTTTTCCTTTTGGGCCACCCCACCTCGGTGGGATACGGCCGGTGTGTTGAAAGAAAGAAGAAAGAAGTATATATATATTACTTTATACAGGGCATAGTAGTTTTTTGTAGAATTTCCTATTACATTATCAAAGAGAAGTATGGAAAATTATTTTGATGTTAGAGGTGTACCATATATAAGGTGAAAGCAAACACTGAGAGTAAGCTTGTAAATTTTGGTGTAATTTTGAGTAAAGGCTCGATTAATGGATTACTAAATTCTACAGTATTCATTGGCTGATTTAGATGCATGAGAAATCAGTTGTTTACTTAGACATGAAAGTATTGCATGCCTGTGATGGTTTGCTTGGATGAGGCTATTGAAACGTATTTCATACTACATTCGACCATTTTTATGAATTTACCACAATGACAGTTTTGTTTTACATCCTTTTGCCCGTCATTTGCGGCCGAATTTACAGTTCTGTAATCTATGTATGGTAATTATGGCTTTAGCCAAAATATCTTGCACAGGCTCCTAGAACTTCAACAGTAACAGCCTGGTTGATCAAACCCTGATCCACCACAAGACTTGGTCTCAGCCCGAGCCACAGGGGCATTGACCCCTGAAACTCTCTCCAGGTATACTGCAGGGCATTTGATATTATGCAGCGATCCACGAGCTGGGTTCTTGAGGCCTCAATACAAAATATGGTACTATTATTTTCACTACTGTATCTACAAAGTTGCCTTCCTGACCTGTAACTCAGGCTTTTATATCTTGCACACATATTGTATCGATTAGATGGCCAATTCATTCTATAACCTGTCTAGAATAGTAATAATAATAATCTTCATTTCTACAAGTACATGATACAACTTATACAGAACTAACTGACATCAGTGACATACTATATAGAAAGCCCCTGATTATGTTGAGTATTTCGGGGAAATTAGGTTAATTTTGTTCCCAGGATGCAGCCTAACACCCAGGTACTTATTTACAAAATATTAAACTGATACTATGAGAATGGAGGGTCCAGAATAGATTTTCTTTTTCCATACTGAAATGAACTTTCCATATCTCCAAGGTAAAGTAATGACATTACTTGTTTTTAATACTAAATGACCCTAGTGTCTTTAGCGCTTAGCTATGTGCATAAGCACAGGAAAGTTGTTAGGTTTTATTTCCTATTTTCATTATGGCATTTTTTTTTTTTCATATTTGCAGTCACATGTTTTATTGTGATTTCTTCTATGATTGTAATAATAGTAATTTGTCCTTGATTTCAGTGAGACTCAGCTGCGATGCAACCGTAGCAACGATCTGTTAATGAAATTAATGCGTACCAGATATCCAGAGTTGTTGTGCACCCAGTCCATAGAGGTGCTTGCTCAATGGATGTCAGAAGAACCTGCACTCCAAGGTACATTGAAAAGTATTGTTCTTGTAGTAGGTTAAAAGGCTACGACAGCTCGTGCTGTACAGGCCTGCCCCCATAAGTCTGGTGTCTGGATGATCACTAATGCTTTGATGCCTCCCAACTGCATTAAGAAAAGCAGAGCATTGTACTGTTATTTTGGTATTTGGTTTTGTTGTTTGGTATCTTGAATATAAATATATATATGTATATTCTCCATGGGAAAGTGGAAAAGAATCCTTAGTTTCTAAGTCGCGCATGTCAGAAAAGGCAACTGAAATGCCGGGAGCAAGGGGCTAGTAACCCCTTCTCCTGTATAATAATCTAATTTTGAAAAGAAGAGAAACTTTAATTTCTTCTTTTTGGGGTAACCCAGGTTTGGTGGGAGATGGCTGGTGCCTTAAAAAACAAAAATACTGTATATCTATAGACTTTTGGTTACTTATAATATTTTATTTCTCTCAGCTCGCTGGCCATCTCCCACTGAGGTGTGTGAGCGTGTTAGACAGGAGTGAATGGACACGAATGGTTTTTCGGGACCTGACGAACTGTTGGAGTGCAAGCAGGGTAATATTTTGTGAAGGGATTCAGGAAAACCAGTTAGCCGGACTTGAGTCCTGAAAATGGGAAGTATTATGCCTGCACTTTAAAGGAGGGATTTGTGATATTGGCAGTTTGGAGGGACATCTAAACTGTCGTATCTGAGCGTCTCTACAAAGACAGTGATTATGCATGAGTGATGGTGAAAGTATTGAATGATGAAAGTTTTTTCTTTCTTTTTGGGGTCACCCTGAGTGGGAAATGACCAATGTGTGAAAAAAATAATAATGCTATACAATTTTCTTCTTATTCTTTTTAGTAATTATTACAGGAAAAGGGACTACTAGCCCATTGTTCCCACCATTTTAGCTGACTTTTACAACACGCATGGCTTACGGAGGAAAGATTCTTATTCCACTTCCCCATGGATATAAAAGGATATATTATATTGGGGAGGAGGAGTATGGAAGAAGTGAATGTTTTCAGATACAGTGGACCCCCGGTTAACAATATTTTTTCATTCCAGAAGTATGTTCAGGTGCCAGTACTGACTGAATTTGTTCCCATAAGGAATAATGTGAAGTAGATTAGTCCATTTCAGACCCCCAAACATACATGTACAAACGCACTTACATAAATACACTTACATAATTGGTCGCATTGGGAGGTGATCGTTATGCGGGGGTCCACTGTACTTGGGAGTTGACGTGTCAACGGATGGATTTATGAAGGATGAGGTTAATCATAGAATTGATGAGGGAAAAAAGGTGAGTGGTGCGTTGAGGTATATGTAGAGACAAAAAACGTTATCTATGGAGGCAAAGAAGGGAATGTATGAAAGTATAGTAGTACCAACACTCTTATATGGGTGTGAAGCTTGGGTGGTAAATGCAGCAGCGAGGAGACAGTTGGAGGCAGTGGAGATGTCCTGTCTAAGGGCAATGTGTGGTGTAAATATTATGCAGAAAATTCAGAGTGTGGAAATTAGGAGAAGGTGTGGAGTTAATAAAAGTATTAGAGGGCTGAAGAGGGGTTGTTGAGGTTGTTTGGTCATTTAGAGAGAATGGATCAAAGTAGAATGACATGGAGAGCATTTAAATCTGTAGGGGAAGGAAGGCGGGGTAGGGGTCGTCCTCGAAAAGGTTGGAAGGAAAGGGTAAGGAAGGTTTTGTGGGCGAGGGGCTTGGACTTCCAGCAGGCGTGTGTGAGCATGCTCAATAGGAGTGAATGGAGACGAATGGTACTTGGGACCTGACGATCTGTTGGAGTGTGAGCAGGGTAATATTTAGTGAAGGGATTCAGGGAAACCGGTTATTTTCATATAGTCGGACTTGAGTCCTGGAAATGGGAAGTACAATGCCTGCACTTTAAAGGAGGAGTTTGGGATATTGGCAGTTTGGAGGGATATGTTGTGTATCTTTATACGTATATGCTTCTAAACTGTTGCATTCTGAGCACCTCTGTGAGTGTGGTGAAAGTGTTGAATGATGATGAAAGTATTTTCTTTTTGGGTCACCCTGCCTCGGTGGGAGACGGCCGACTTGTTAAAAAAAAAAATGCTATACAAGAGGCATTTGTGAGCGTGTTAGATAGGAGTGGACACGAATGGTTTTTGGGACTTGACGAACTGTTGGAGTGTGAACAGGGTAATATTTGCGAAGGGATTCAGGGAAACTGATTAGCTGGATTTGAGTCCTGGAGGTGGAAAGTACAGTGCCTGCACTTTAAAGGAGGGGTTTGGGATGTTTGCTGTTTATGACATCTGAACTGTCGTATTTGCACACCTCTGCAAAGATAGTGATTATGTGTGAATAATGGTGAAAGTGTCTTTTTTTTGGGTCACCTTGCCTCTTTGGGAGATGGCCAACATGTTGAAAAAAAAATTCATTGTTTTTCTAATGAGTAATCCATCATAATTCTCGACTGGGTTTCAGGAGCCATCATGAGTGAATGTGGGGTGGATAATGACTTGTGCTCGACACTTCTGGCAACATACATCACAGAACAAGGTGAATCCCACCCGTTAATGATTGGAGAAGATATGACAGACAGTGACAAGAGCAAATTACTTCTATATCTTGTAAGTTCTTTTTATCAGAGCAAATTACTTCTATATCTTGTAAAGGAGGGGTTCGGGATATTGACAGTTTGGAGGGATATGTTGTGTATCTTTATACGTATATGCTTCTAAACTGTTGTGTTCTGAGCACCTCTGTAAAAACAGTGATTATGTGTGAGTGAGGTGAAAGTGTTGAATGATGAAAGTATTTTCTTTTTGGGGATTTTCTTTCTTTTTGGGTCACCCTGCCTCGGTGGGAGACGGCCGACTTGTTAAAAAAAAAAAAACCTTGTAAGTTCTTTATCAGAGCAGATTACTTGTATATCTTGTAAGTTCTTTTTATCTGTTGCCCATCCTCAGTTCCTAACTTAACAAAGATGAAAGATTCAGACACTTGCTACATTTGGGAATCTTTGTTGTGGGGAGTATTTGCCAGCAAGTGGCTTCCTCAGTCTGGTCAAGAGAGGAATGGTGGAAGATGAGGAGGAGTTTGAGGTAATCAGTCCCTCAACCTTGAGCTGATGTGTTCAATCCATCAAGACTGATGGACTGAACATCAAGATTGTTGGACTGAACACATCAACTCAAGGCTGAGAGACTGATTACCTCAAACTCTTCATCCTCCACCATTCATCCTTTTATCAGACTGAAGAAGCCACTTAGTGAATAGTTTCTGCACTAAAGATTCCCACATGTTGCAAACTTGTAAAATTCTTCAACTTGTCAGTTTCTCGACCATTCACATCCTAACAGATTTTTTTTGAGATCTAGAATGTGTTCTAACAAATGAAAAAAGTTTGTAATCCAAGATCCAAAGTTGTTAAAAAAAAAACATACCACAGGCGAGTATGGAACCTGCCAGCTGGCTACGATAAGGTTCATCCAACTAGGCATATTTATACACCATAGGAAGGTTAGGATAGGTATGGTTTGTTTGCAATCGTGTCATTACGATTTTGTGAGTCCAAAGATGTTACTTAAACAGTAATTAGTTCTACTGTAATAGAAGTCAAACCACATTAATCATGGATTGTTCCTTCCCCAGGCTAGCAAGTACCTGGTGGATTACAACAGTCCTCATAACAACCCTCTCGAGCCGTGCTATTTCCGTAAACCCTGGAAGCCGCTGAGTGTTTTCCTCATACTTTCCCGGTTTGAAATGTTTTTTATAAAAGTTGAAATTAAACCCCTTAAAGGGTTTCCCGAACGTATATATACTTTTTTTCCAAATCTAAAAAGTATTTTAAAAAAATTAATCTTTTTTTTTTTTTTTACATGTGAAAACGTTTTTAAAAAAAACTTTTTTCTACATTTTTTTTTTTATATTAAAAATTTTGTAAAAAAAAAAAATCTATTTTTTGTAGCAAACAAATTTTGAACGTTGATTTTTTTGGCCCTTTTTAAAGGGTTAAATAAATTTGAGGGGGATGCTTTATAAAAGTTGTATTAAATGAATGGATGAGAGTAGGAGCAGTTTAGCCAAAAAGGTTAAAAAAAAAAGTTTCACTACTTTATTGTAAAGTCATTTTTTTCATATTTAAAAAAAAAAAATTACACAGTACAGGGGGACCCCAAAACCAACAATATTAATCCTTTTCCAGAGAGCTTTCTTTGGGCGAATTTATTTTTAGCCCGAATTAATTTTCCCTATAAGAAATAATGGAAATTCAATTAACCCAAACCCAAGACAGCCAAAATTTTAAAAAAAAAAAAATTTTTTTTTTCATGAAATATACTTTTTCCCTAAAAAGAAAACAATGGGGAACATGCACTTAACTATAAAAATTTAAATTTTTAAAAGGGAACACTTTCCCTTTATTGAAGAGTTTGATGAGGGGATGAACACTGTTTTTCTTAAAACACTCGGAAATTTTTTCAGAGTGATACATGGTAAAGGCTTCATTTTGCAATCCTCATTTAAAATTACAACAAAAAAAAAAAGTTAACCTGTTTTTCATGGGACTTGTGTCCTGGGAGTGCCTTTCCCTTCCTGGAAATTTAGGTCCTGTTTGGAAATTTTTCCGAAAACATCCTGTTTTTCCCCACAATTTTTACACTTTTTGGGGGTTTGGGAAAGTTTCAGCTTCATCCCTGCTTTATCACCCCTTTGTTGCCCCCTACGAATTTTTAAAACTCCCAAAACCCAAACCCTTTTCTGCCCTTAAATTTACCCAATAGAGCACTATTCCCGGCATTTTTTTTCCCGTTCACCTGGGGGTTAGGGCAACCGGTGTGGGTTTGCAACCCTGGGGGACGAATTAAGGGGCTCCAGTGGAAATTAAATTGGGCAGTTCCGACGATGCACTGACTTTTTTTGGGTTATGCTGGGGGGCAACCCTCTGGGGTTAATTTTTTTTCAACCCGGGAACTGTTTCTGTTAAGCCCACCCAAAACCCGGGCTTCCACATCTTCGATATACACTGATGGTGGTGGAGCAAACAGCTGACGGGGGGGCAGCAACAGCTGACTGTGGTTTCAGCGCAGCTGACCGTGGGACGGCAGCACGACGGGTTTAAAGCAGCAGCCCGCTGACGGTGGTTTTCAGCAAAAAGCTGACGGTGGTTTCAGCAAACAGCTTACTGTGGTACAACAGCAGCTGATGATGGTGCAGCAACACTGCTGTGGGGCAAGCCGTGACCGTGGACAACACACTGATGGGGTGCAGCATCGCTGACCGTGGTGCGCAGCAGCTGACCCTGGAAAGATATAAAATTTTTTACCCTTTTAAACCCCCGGGTTGGCACTAAAGCCCTTTTTTTTTGGGGCCCCCCGGGGGCTTATTTAGTAGTTACAAGCCTATAAACAGTGGGGGAAAAATACAAAATTTATCGAATATTGCATTGGGAAACCCGGCCCCCCTGGTTGTAAAAAAGTGATGGCGGGGAGCTGAAGCGCTCAGGGGACGGACATTTTTGGGGCCAAAACATTTTTGGTATTAATTTTTTTTTGTTGGCCGGGCCCCAAAATTTTTTTTGCTCAAATGCTTCATTTGGGCGAATTTTTGTTAGAAAAATTGGCCCTTTGTTGGCCCAGGGTCCCCTGTAAATTTAAAGATGTCATTTTTAAGTCAATTTTTTTTAATTAAAGAAAGTCCCTTTTTGTCTCTCAGTTTTGCACATTTTTTAAAAAAAAAATCCAAAAAAGTGAAAAAAAAAATTAAATTTTTAAATCCATTGTTTCCCCCGCAATTTAAAAAAAAGGGGTATTTTATATTTTTTTACTCTGGGGGAAAATTACAATTCCTGGCTCATAACTCCAAAAAAAAAAGAACAATCACTAATTTTGACCAAAAATGATAAATTAAAAGGGAAAAAAAAAAAAATTTTTACAGTATTTTAAAAATTAAAAATCTTTTTGTACTTTTCCAAATCGTGTTTAGTACATTTCATGGGGGTTAATCGAGAAATTATTCACCTGGTGTAAAATCCACTTAGTGTCTCCTCTGACGCACATCCTTGTTGATAAAGAAAGACAAGTCTAACTTGGACCATTTACAAGCCACAGTGTGTCTTGTAAATGGTCCTGTAGGACCATTTCATTGCTTTTCTTGATTTCTCTTTAAGTGGACACCACAAACACGTATATACAGTGGACCCTCGACTAACACTATTAATCCGTTCCTGAGAGCTCATCGTTAGTCAAAATTATCGTTAGTCAAATTAATTTTCCCCATAAGAAATAATGGAAATCAAATTAATCCGTGTAGGACACCCCAAAGTATGAAAAAAAAATTGTTTTTGCCACATGAAATATTAATTTTAATACACACAAACTGATGAAGACATGCATAGTTACATGACACTTACCTTTATTGAAGATCTGGTGATGATTGATGGGATGGGAGGAGGGGAGAGTGTTGATGGTGTTAGTGTTTAGAAAGGGAATCCCCTTCCATTAGGACTTGAGGTGGCAAGTCCTTTTCCGGGGTTACTTTCCTTCCCTTTAAATATCTCAAACCAACCTTTGCTGGCCTTAAATTCACTCGCATCACCACTAGTTGCTGGCATTTTTTTAATTAAATCGTCATGCAACTTCCTAGCCTTTTCACATATGATCGCTTGAGAGATGCTATCCCCTGCTATCTGTTTTTCGTTTATCCACACCAATAACAGTCTCTCAACATCTTCGAGTACTTGCGATCTCAGTTTTGAAAACATAGTTGCACCTTTGACAAGAACAGCTTCCTTGATTGCCGTTTTCTTGGCCACAATAGTAGCGATGGTTGATTGGGGTTTTGTGTACAACCTGGCCAGCTCGGAGACACGCACTCCACTTTCATACTTAGCAATGATCTCTTTCTTCATATCCATAGTAATTCTCACCCTTTTTGCTGTAGGGTTGGCACTAGAAGCTTTCTTGGGGCCCATAGTGACTTATTTTGCAGGTGCAATCACTAAAAAAGCTGTGATAATATGAAATGTTCCGATTGTATGCTTGGAAGCGACCGCGGTGGCTGGCTGGCTGGCTTGTAAACACTGGCCAGAAGTGGACGCGTCTCAGACGGAACGAATAGTGTTGGTCGAGTTTTTTAGCGCTAGTCGAGGCAAAATTTTTGCGTTAAAATGTATCGCTAGTCGGATTTATCGTTAATCGATGCCATCGCTGGTTGAGGGTCCACTGCATTTCAGTCCTGGCTTAACATAAGTCAGTAATAAAGGTAGAATTGCTAACAGTATGTTAGTTACTTGTGTAACTAATATGACATTAGTTGCACACATGTCTGTTTACCTAATGTAAGTTCAGCTTTTTTAAGCATTTTCCTATCCATATACCTGAAGACATGTATGCCAGTTAAGCATACATGTTTCTCAAGATTTATGTAATCCACTGGTGACATAATTTTTCTCTATGATGACTTCGTGATTCATCGCAGTTACTGTGTTCTCCCATTTTCCTGACCTATATTAAATTCCATTATTCATCAGTTCAATTGCTCATTTTATTTAAAATAATTAAAAAATTGTACATTATATACAGTGTACAGAGAGGCAGAATGGACACTGCATTAAAACAATGTTTCA